TGCTCTCTTAGAGCATTCCGCCATCCTCAACCTTTTCTTATATGATACCTCGTCCACTCTCTGTTCCATTTGTAATTATGTTCACATCGACCTTTAATTTTTTTCTTTTTCTCCCCGTTTTGGGCCAATCCTATACGGTGGATTATGTTGTACATTTGATCATGCCTATGCATGCCTCACGGGGCTCCGTGAAATATACATTATTATTATTATTATTAGTATCAATAGCCCAGATAACGAAGGGCAGTTATGGCCGGATGAGGTATCGAGGACAATGCCCAGAAAACCCAGACTACGAAACGAAGACAGTCCTCTAGATCGTAGAGACAGCGAGGCCTAACGCGGGAAGGTTGGTTTGCCTGGACAAATTCTACAACCCGTGTAGCGCCAACCGATCACGAGCGCTCCTAAGGGAGTAGTTGTTATGCAAGACTTACTGGAGGACGATACCTAGGGGAGCTGTAAGCAACCAGACGACGACTTGGTTGCAGAAAAAGAAAAGAATACAGGGGTAACGTTCTAGCAACCCCCATTAGAAGGGACTTAGATGCCACAATCCGTCGGAGATCCCAGTCAACACCGCCTTTGCTTGCAAAACCCTCGGCGTTCCCTCGGGTTTAGTTCCCGAGGCACCGGAAAACCTACGTATTGCAGAAAACGAAGGACGGAGAACGGAAGAAGTGGTGTTATACACCAAAACCTGCAGCATACGTAACAAATGCATGAAGCCCTTTAAGGTGGCCGGTGCGTGCGGCGCAGGGGTAGTTGCGGTCACTGAAACTTGGTTATCTAGAAATGAATACGTACCCGGAGTCATAAGCCACCTCGAATCCCAGGTCAGGGTATACACAAGAAGACTTCATGTATGCACTGTCACACTGATCCTTCCGAAGAGTAACTTTAACGTGACATGCATTTACCGGTCCCTTAGTTCGAGTCGTGAAGAGAATATTAACCTCCTTCGGGGCCTTAGAGACCTAGTGAAGAAACCAGGCAAAACTCCTTTAGAGGGTGATTTCAACATGCCAAATGTAGATTGGGAGCTTGAAACGAGCCCATCAGGAACACAGGAAGGGGCATTCCTGGAGTGGCTTCATGAAAAGACAATGAGGCAAACGTGAAAGAAACCTCCAGATACAGGACGTGATGCTTTCTCTCACTACAGAATCTGGTGATTACGAAGCACCCTACGGATATCACAAAATTGAAGTTACTTTCACCGTTGGGTAAGGGTGATCATGTATGCATGAGACTTACATTCTGCATGCGGCACCCGAAAGCTACCCCTAAAATGGTTAGAAACTTTGGAGTCATGAACGTAGATCACCTCCGTAGCATAGGGGCCTAATCCGTTGCTGCAGACGATAAAAGCAAAGTGGACACTAAATCTCTACTTTAACAGTGTTCATCGTACAGATTACGGTGCGTCCGCAACCTGGGACCCGGCATCTCCTCCGGTAGTTATAGACGATTTGCGTTTAATAGAGGACATGGTTAGGAACCATCTAGAAGGCTTAAATATAAACAATTCGGCTGGTTTCGACGGTATTCACCCAGCCATTGCGAAACCATTAGCGGTACCTTAGCTGGACCACTGTGTCAACTACTCAAGCTAAGCCTACAATAAGGTGCTCTACCACGAGACTAGAAATCAGCTGCCGTGATAGCTATACATAAAGGGGGGCAGGTCAGAAGTAAGCAACTACAGGCCAGGAAGCCTGACTAGCATTATTTGCAAGGTGCCAGAGAAGATCGTGAGGACCCATATCTGTAAGCATTTGGTGGACCATTCTATGCTGTGCCCTGCTCGGCATGGGTTCCTGAAAAACAGGTCGTGTCTCACCAATCTCTTGTGCTTGCTAGATGAAGTAACTCGCAGGTTGGATGAAGGCAAAAAAGTAGAGGTATACTACGTCGACTTCAGTAAAGCGTTCGACACTTTGAACCATCGCCTACTGTTGATCAAGTTGAAAGCCGCTGGCATAAAGGGGAAGATATATAGCTGGATATCAGACTTCTTAAGTGTGTGATCTTTCTACGCAAGAGTAAGTGGTTCCAGTTCCAGCCTGAGGAACATCACTAGTGGAGTACTTCAGGGATCAGTACTGGGACCCATCTTATTCTTATTGTTTATAAATGACCTAGCCGTAATGCTCCAGTCACCTAGCTTTTTATTCACGGACGATGTAAAAGTCGTAGGATCAGAGGGGCGAGAGGATCTGGTCAGGGTTATTGTAGCAATCCTAAGCTGGGCCCTCAAGTGGGACTTGCCACTAAATGCTGGAAAAAGCCAACTGCTGTCACGAGCGGCAGAGGGTGTCACAGTTGGTCACGAGGTAGGTCCCTTCACTATCGGGAAAGCTGAAAATGTAAAAGACCTAGGATATTTGGTAACCGCTGATCTTAGGTGGTCGAATCAATTTGCCAAAGCGACACAGAAAGCTAGGGGTGAATTATTTAGATTAAGATCAGCGTTGTCGGGCAGTAAACATGAGGTATTCAAACTTCTGTATAAGGCCATAGTGAGGCCCTACGTGCAGCATTGTGTCCAGGCATGGTCACCCTTCATCAAAAAGGATGCCACCTGTTTAGAGCAGATTTATCGGCTGGCAACGAGAATGGTTGAGGGTCCGCAGGCAAAGAAAACAAGCAAAGGCTTCAGGACCTGGGACTGTTCTCTCTATAAAGAGGCTTAAAAGGGATATCATAGAAACATTTAGGATAATGGAAGGTTTATCTGGTATTAGACCAGAAACCCTGTTCCAGGAAGCACTAGATTCCCGTACAAGGGGACAAAATGAAGCTAGCCAAGGACCGATCTCGATTGATTGTCCGGTCACACTTCTTCAGCAACAGGGTAGTCAACATTTGGAAAGAACTACATGTGGAGCTAGTAGAACTGCAGACTGTGCTAGCATTCAAGACGGCCCTGGACGAACGGTAGTCTGAAATTGTTCCTGAAGTGGAGGTCTGACCATCGAACTAGCGGCTTACACAAACAGTATTAAGAGCGCAACACTCAGGTTGCATGTTCCTGGTTTCGTCCTACCATTTATTTGGATGGAGCCTGGGAGATGAACGCTCGCAAATAACAATCTCTCGCCTCTGAGGTGAGAGGTATCTGTATCCTTCCCCCTTTTAGCCAGGAAATACGGACTACTTTTCGCAGTGGTGGGTGTCATACTGGACCACATACCACCGAAGGAATTGTGGACTCTTGATTGGCGGTGGCCATTTTCTGTCATGTGCAGGCATGGGCTAGCTACAAGGCAGCAAGAAACCATGCGCAGGAGATGCAGCGAAGGGCCAGGTACGACTATGAACATGGGATTGCGATAAAAGCAAAACAGTACCCAAAGAGGTCCTATGCTTACGTCCAATCCCAAAGGGCATCAAGAGAGGGAATTGGAACGTTGGAAAACACTAATAAATGTCTTGCCCTAAGCGAGGAAGAAAAGGCAAATACCCTTATGGCTTTCTTTAAGGGGGTGTACACACAGCCATCACCGATGGTTATGGCAGTTTATCCCAGTGCGGCATTACAGCTGACTGAAATAACTGTGACACCGGACGAAGTCCTTCACGAGTTAGCTACCCTGAATAAGTTCAAGGGAGCGGGACCGGATGGCATCCATCCCGCTATTGTTAAACCTCTAGCGGAGATGCTCCAAGGGCCTCTGTCAAAGTTGTTTCAGGCATCTCTGGATA